ACGTTACTTCTCTCTGTGTTATTAAATATCATTTTAAATGGAAAATGTTAGGATTTGAACTCAGTAGTTCAAATGCTACGCACACTAATGTTTTCCTGCTCTCTAAAGGGAAAACTCTCCAAGTTCGGTTCGAATCTCCTTAACGTTTATTTCTATACCGTTTGGAAGAATAGTGGCATAGATGTTCCTGAAGGCGAGATAATGAAAAACGAATTTAGCAAGTCAGGCTGAGTGGATGTTTTTCAGCCTTCTGGTCTACCCCCTCAGCAAAGTCCTTCCTACTTTTTTCTCTCTCTCTCTTTTTTGTTGTTAGGGTTTCATGAGCTCTGAAATGGATGCCGGGCTCCGTCACAGGAGGGATGCTTGGAGCGCCTTCGGTGCGTTTTGTACGTCTGGATGTTCTCTCTAAGAAAGCCGGTATAAATGCACTAGTGCAGTGGTCCCCAGCCTTCGTGGCACCAGGGACTCTAACGCCTTTGGATCTGAGGCAGAACTGAGGCGGTGAGGCTGGCGCTGGGGAGCGGCTGCAGATACAGGTGAAGCTTCGCTCACCTCCTGCTGTGCGGCCCGGGGGTTGGGGACCCCTGCACAAGAGTCAATAAATGAATAAACATGGGTATCTTTTTTTTTCTGTCACTCATGAAGAAAAGCTGCAAACCAGTTATTGAAACCTGGTGAACTCCAGGAAGTTGTTATAAAGCTCCTGTGCTTCCTTAACACCCAGCATGGACCAGCATCTGAGACGCTGCCCTGTGTAAGTCTACACGTCTTACCGGATTCCCAGTGGCCAGTCCGAGTCCCCTCACGAGGCCAGCATCCACAGGGCGGATGCACAGCTCCCACGCCCAGGGAGAGGTGTCACTTTAGGATAAGGAGAGCTGCCAGAAGCGAGGACAGTGATTCAGTCTTCCTATGCACTCACGATTTGTTAGCATCGTTCTCCAGAAGCCTCTGGAAGGTCTGGGAGTTGTTTCTGCACTGCTTTATTCTCCCGAGACGTAGTAAGAGAATATAATTTAAAAACAAACGATAAACAGCAAATCTTGAGTTAAGTTACATGACATCGCAGAAAATCAAAGCTGTTCTCTGGTTCTAAAGAGAAGATGGTTTTTGTTACAAATGACATAATGGTTATCATCATAGCTGTTTGAGTCCACATGGTTCCAGTGGATGGACTGAGACAATTTTGGTAATAAACACTGTAACATTTTTACCAGGACCGTTCAGCAAAGACCCAGAGCTGACTTCATATCAATAACCACACACTGAGTAAGGAAGTAAGGAACTCTTGGGTTAAATAACCAAAATACTTAAATATTTAAACATCAAATCTGCACGATGCCAAAGCGTAAAGCTGGTTAATGATTTTCGACAAGGTTTTCACGGACTCAGGTGACTCCCCGTGAATAACGGTCACAGCACCCACTTCCACACGCAGGTGATCTCACGGCCCGTGAAACCATCTCCGAGCAGCTCAGCCTGCGCCCCCGGCGACTCGGTCAGGCCGAAAGAGGCTTCCAGAAGCGCCGCTGTTATTCCTCGAAGCGCATTCGAGAAAGAGCAGAGAGGCGTGATGCAGGTTTCACCTAGGTGGGGACCCGCTTCCCTTCCAAGCACGTAGCCTCCGAGAGCATTTCATGCATGACAGGGCTTATGGGGATGAGAGAGAGATAATTCATCCACTCTCCATTAAGCCGCCTCCGGCGTATTATAGGAGGACCCCAAAGCCATTATTTAAGAACCTTAGAAAGCATTCCAACCCAAGAACCCCCCAACTGACATCAGTTTGACGCTACAGAGCTGGGACCTACCCCTCACGGCTCGTTTCCAGCCTCAGCTGCTCCCGGTTTGAAGTGATTGCAGACCTGTGATTCAGCCCCACACAGTAGCGTTACTTGCTTCTTTTTGGGTTTATTTCTCAAACCAGCAAGTGAGCGTAGACCCCCATATCATAGGAATGCCAGACTTTGAAAGACGATCCTTTATTTGCTCAAACGCTGATTCGGAGCGTCCCAAGTTGGATTTCTGTTCATTGAAGAAGATGCTGAACAACCATCGGCTTCTTGCTGGGCCCGCCTAATGCCCTGGTGGAAGGTGGAGTCCCCGACACCTTTGAGAAGCATGATCAGGTGTGTTAAGGAACATCTGTGAGAGGAGGGGGAGGCAAGACAAGGGAGAAGCTAATAAAATATATTTTTTCCAGCAAGTTACCGCTGAGGGCAGCTGGAGTCAGTTGCACTCAGGGCCTCTGGGGGGAAGTACAGAGCACAAGCCAGAGAGAGAGAGAGAGAGAGAGAGAGAGGAGCCACAGCTGTTAATCATCAACAACCATCAGCCGTGGGTCGAGGCCAGTGTGGGAGGTTTAGTCCCTTGGCACTTCCGGCATGCCGGGTGACTTGCCAGAGCCGGCGCTGGTGGCTGCAGACGGTCCTCACACAAGGACACACAGGTGCGGGAAGCTGGAAGCCTGGGACGCAAACGAGAGCAGTGTTCGTGGACGTCACAAAGACGGAGAAAATCTGGGCAGGCTACGAGTATCTACGTCTCTATCAGTATCTGGATCTCTAATCGTGATCTATCTCTATGCGTTTATAGCTCTAGGTACAGGTGTTAGTGCACGCATCGATCTACGTATTGTGGTGACTTTGCAAAGACCGAAATCCCAATCCTAAAATGTCCAGAGCTTACAAAACGTTTTCATAAACAAAGCTAGAAAATGACACAAAATGACCCCTGGAACATAATCATTTGTAAATTGGTCGAATTCATTTGTAAATTGGAAGAAGCAGCAGCGTATAAAACACCGAGATCAGAGGGAAAATCCTAACACAATGTTCGGCGCTCTAGCCAGTTACGAAAAGGTTAATTCTGGATGCCAGAGCCTATGACAAACCTTTATATATCTACCCAAGCTTTCACCGTTAAAATGAGAAGGACTGAAGATAAGCGAACTACATATTCAATATAAGAGACTAGAAAAAATGTATAACGCAGAAAGCAAAATAAGGCTTTTGGTTTCTGGTTCCTGAAGTGGGAAAAAATCAACGACTCTTTTTGGATCCATCAGAGGGACGGGGACACAGGGCACACAGCTGCCCCCAAACTGGAGAGACAGACGGGCAGACACACCGTGTCACGCACACAGAGCAGAAGCAGGCAGGTGACGGCCGCTGCAGGAACTCATGCCCCTAGGAGAACCTGCCCACGCGGGCGAAGCTCAGTGTGCACGAGTTAAATAAATCAATAATTCAACTGTTCACCTTGGGAAGCTAGGAAAAAAAAAGAAGAAGAAGAAATTAAATTCAAAGTAAGCGGAAGAACTCATAAAAATTAGAGCAGAAATCAATGAAATGGAAAACAGGAAATCAGCAAAGAAAAACGATGAGACCGAGAGCTGGTTCTTTGAAAAGATCAATAAAATTGATGAGCCTCTAGCCAGGCTAGGAAGGAACGAGAGAGGATACAAATTAATAACATCAACGATAATAAAGGGATACCGTGAAAACCTCTGTGCCCACAAATTTCATAACCTAGATGAAATAGAACAATTCCTGGAAAAACATAATCTACCAGAACTCACATAAGACGAAGCAGATGATCCGAATAGGCCTCTACCTATTAAACATATTCAATCAATACTTAATAGCCATTCAGAACAGAAAGCATCATGTCAGATGGGTTCCTTAAGCTAGCAAACCTTTTAACTCTACTAAACATTTAAGGAAAGAATTATAGCAGTTCTCCACAATCTCTTTCAGAGGCTAGAAGCAGAGGGCATACATCTTGTGAGTCTGGCATAACCCTAACATTGAAGCCAGACAAAAGCATTACAGACCAATATGTATCGTAAATGTAGGTGCAAAAATCCTCGAGAAAATATTAACAAGTTGAACCCAAAAAAGTGTAAGAATTACACACCATGACCAAGGGAGATTTACCCCCAGCAATGCAAGGTGAGTCCAACATTTGAAAATCAATTAGTGCAGCCCATCACATCAGCAGACTGAAAAAAAAAAATCACATGGTCATCTCAATAGATGCAGCAAAAGGATTTGACAAAACCCAAAACCCGTTCATGATAAAAATGTTCAGTAAGCTAGAAATAGAGGATAACTTGATAAAGAATATGCAGGAAAAAAGCAAGAGAAAAGAGACAAAAGTGGAAATTACTATAATAATATAAATCGTAGCCACCATGAATATATTCAGACATTTCTTGGAAATTAACCATATATGTACGTACCCATAAAGCTAGATTGGAGAAAATAAAAAGAAGCAAAAATGAATGCGATTACCAATAAACACAGCAATGTGATCATGAAATTAAAGAGATTGAAATAATTATAAGAGTATATTTCGTGCACCTCTAGGGCAATGCATATGAGAATTCTGGGGAGAATGGTTGATTTCCTGCAAATACGTCCCAGCTTGCTTCCAAAAGAGACAGAAATTGAATCTACAAATAATCAAGGAAGTTGTCGAAAATGTAATTTAAAGAAATGGTAACTTAAAAAAAATATATGTCATGCCTAGAGAATTTTACAGCTGAGGTCTGTTTCAATTTTAAAGTACAGATTATTTCTATGAAATGTAAACTTTTTAGACTACAGAAAGATGGGAAACTGCCAGATTTCATGATGTTAGCTTAATTTTCATGCCGAAACGTACTGAGTACAAAATAATTACAAAATAATTTTTTAAATTATAAAACAATTGTATATTATTATTGTTCGTGACCAGATGCAAAGGTTCTAAAATTATTAGCCAATAGAATCTAACATATTCAAGAGGATGAATGATCTTTTTAATCCAGGATATAAGGATGGTTGAAGATCTTTTATTCTACTAAAAAATTCAAGGAGAGGCCCATCTGTTTACATTCACAGTGGCTGATGATGGAAAAGCGTTTGACAAATTCAGTAGTTATTTCTAAAAAAAAAAAAAGTCTAAGTACTAGAAGAAAACAACCTATTTGTGAAAAAGACTACTTATTACCAATTATCATAATAAAGAAAAATTGATGAACTATTTCCATTGAAATCAAGGGAAAAATAGGGATGTGTGACATCATTGTCGCTAAAGCACAGAGGCCAAAAATATTAAATAATCATTATCCATACTTTTTTAAAAGTTACAGAAATGTTTAGTATGCAGATACTAACACTATATATCAAAAAAGTTGAAAAAAAAACCAAAGAAAATTAAGAATGAGATAAATTAGATAAATAATATAAGTTATATACAACAAAATTTTCTCCCTAATCTAGCCATATCCAGTAGGAAAATAGAAAAAAAAAAAAAAAAGCTTTTATTTATAACAGCCGCCAAAACTACAGAATGACTTCAGTGTATTGGCAAAGGCAGAAGTCTCCAGTCCTTCTGGTACCTGGATAAAAAACACAGACACGGACATTTAAAGTTCTGATTGTTTCGATAACTTCAGCTTAAACTAGTACGAAACAAATGGATGCATTTTTCTTTCGAGCCACAATTAAAAAACAAACAAACAAACAAAAAAAACGACAAGTCCCTTTCATAATGGTGATTGTGGTTAGTGAGGGAAGCTGGCAGTTTCCACGTTCATACTGGCCAATGGTCGTTTCTCTATCAGCTGATTGAAATATGGTAGAAATATTAGACATCCTTTTGTAACTCGATATGTGCATTTTCTCTAAAATTTACCCCTGCAAGATTCTATAGGCATTTGGTGACCTTTACCGCTCTGCTTTAATATAGATCATTTCCACACTTTGAGATGAAAAATAGTACAATTTTTCCTAAAAACTCTGCCGTCTAGCAGAGAAGGCACAGACCTGTTGGTAGACCCTACACACACTTGGCCGACGGCATCTGGCTTCGGGGTTCCTGTCAACGTGCTCGTCAACGTGAGGATACTTGAGAGGGCCACGTTGCCTCAGAGCTCACCTGCATTAAGGTTTATGTTCTGGATACATAACAACAAAAATCTGACACGGCAGACGTAAACCTTACGCCCGCCCGAGTCAGAACCTGAAAGACCCTTAAGGAACACATCTCACTTGGAGGACGTGGGGCCGGAGTTTGCCTTAGGCCAGTTCCATTTCATGGACTGGATGGGTCGATGACAGGCGGTCGCTAGCCAAGGACAAGTCACTGAAGTCATGAAGATGAACCATGAGAACTCAGGGGCGTCCCGAGCACTTGGATGGTTACCCGGATGTTCTGGATACACCTGTTCCATGGAAGATAGAGAAGACCAGAATGGAGAAAGATTGCTTAAAATAGAAATGGCTTAAAATAGAAGCCTCGAAACGAGCAGAATCTCTTCCAAGGCAGGGCTTGCAGCCCATCTCCAGGGACAGCCGTTTGGGCACGTCTCCTGGCAGGAGTCGTGTGCGCATCCCTCCCATCGGATGCTGCCAGCTGGCATGCAGAAGCTCCTGAGGATTGACGAGGAAAACGATCCTGCGTTCTGTGCGATGCCTTGGCAGTCGGGCTGTCGCGAGAAATTCAGAGGAGAGAGTCGACGTTTAGCATTCTTCCATCAAAGCTGCCGGCGAGCATTTCGGCTTTGAATGCTTTAAATCCGCTTTGCATGAAAATCTGATCTTGCTGTGTCTTCGGACAGCTCGTGTCTATATCCATCACGGCTTCAGAAATAAAACGAATCTCTTCACACAATGAGACGCTCGCAGGGACAAACTAACGATCTATTTCTACTTAGGGCAAAGCGTTCTCCGTTAGCGCGCGCGTCTAGCGAAGTTATAAGACGCCTTGGTTTTACAGTGGCGGATGAAAAATGGTGGCTCTTGCAAAGAAAGTATGGAGATTGTTTACTGTTGTTGTCCTTTGTGTTCAAAAGTGAATGCAAAAGAACTTACCAAAATATACACATAGCTCTGGAAGAAACATGTCACTCGTGCAGAAAGGGCATATTTCTCCACGAACCGATATTCCCCCCCGCCCCGTCATTTTGGTCTAATGTCAATCAACAGTCCTCTGGCTAATTCATTTTTTTTTAAATAAAAAAGGACAATATATATATTTAGCTGTCACCTCTGACACACCAACTAGTCTCCTAACCACCGTTTATAAATGATGGGGCAGAAAGCAGGTAAATAACAGCCCGCAGACAGAGTCTCGCTGAGCTGCCAGCTATACTGACAAAGAGCTCTCTCTTAATGTTTTAATACATCATTTTTCATTTACAATTTTTAAAAAAATCACTGGTTAATATATATGGTATTTGGCTGAGTAAATACAATGATTGTTTTGTTAATTCACAAACTTGGAGACCTCATTACACACACTTCGTGTAGTATTTTTTTTTTTTATTCTCATGTTAATCTTTTTTTTCTTACTGTTGAACAGTAAGGCATATATATATTTACAGTGTGAGTTCACCTCCCATACTTAGAATTCTTTCTGTCACCTCATATTTGACCCCTTTACCTGTCTACTTCCCCCCTCTCCCACCCCCTCCTCTCTGGTAACCACTAGTCCATTGTCCATGTCCATGAGTCTCTGTTCTGCTCATTTGTGCGTTTAGGTTTATATCCCACATATAAGTGATATCATGTGATTTTCAAAGTTTTCTGTCTGGCTTATTTTGCTTAGCATGATCATCTCGAGGCTCATTCATGTTGTCGTAAATGGCAATATTGCATCTCTTCTTATGGCTGAGTCATATTCCATTGTATATAGGTACCACAGCTTCTTTAGCAAATCATGTATCCTAGGACACTTCGGTTGCTTCCATGTCCTGGCCACCGTGAATAACTCTGCTGTGAACATCAGTGTGCAAATGTATTTTCGGATATGGGTTTTCGAGTCTTTGGCGTAAATACCCAGTAGAGGGATTGCTGGATCATATGGTGGATCAATTCTTAGTTTTTTGAGGAACCTGCGTACTGTTTTCCATAGTGGCTGCACCAATTTGTCATGTAGTATATTTTATTAATTTACAATCTAATTATAGGATCATACAAGTGTAAAACAGGGAGGCATAACAGAAGAAAAGCATGGTTTTTGTCAGTAGGTAGTGAATTTACTCAACGCATTAAGCGACACCCAGTTTTAGAACTGCGTATAGGAAAACGTGGGTTCTTTGACAGCAGAGTAAGGTGTCCTCCACGGCCCAGCCAAGTCCTAAACATTCGCTGCGGGGCGAGACAAACGGACAGCGACTCCAGCACGGGAAGCAGCCTTCGCCACCGCACGCCGAGGGCCGTAAAAATCTTCGTGCAAAAGTTTATCTCTGAAAGGAGAGACCTCGCAGAGTTCGCCATCCATGTCCCCAAATGCATTCTGGGTTGTCCGCTGGGACAGGCGGCCGCTGAACCGATGTGGTGGCTGCAGACTGGCTGGCGGCGCCCAGCCCCCGGGCAGGGGCTGGGTCCTACTGCCCGTGAAACTCAGTATTTTCTTTCGCTTTTTTGCAGATGCCGTGTTGCTCGGAGACCGGATAAATGCCGACGTGTTGTTTTGGGCCTTCCGTGAGGAAGCCGGGACCTGCCCAATGACAGTGTGGCAGGGGAACGCAGGTCCCCAGGCGTCTGTGTCCACCCCGTGGCAGAGGACACAAGCCTGCGTGGGGAGGACAGTTGGCTGCGGGCCTGGCCTTGAGCAGAATTTGGCCCAGTCTGGGTGCCACTTCTGGGAACCTCTGAGGGGACATTGAGGGGGAGTTCTGACGGCTGATGGCAGGACAGATGCCAGCTCATTGGCATCTTCTCCCAGGCCTGGGACCAGAATCACAGCCTGACGTTTGCGGTGAAGGAGGTGCTGTACGTGAACTTGGTAATGAAGAAGGCACGAAAATGCTTTGCCTCACTCCTCACAGAAATACCGGGGCATCTTCTATCGGCCATGTCGCGTAGGATAATGATGACCTTGGGGAACAGGGGACCAGTGAGTGCGTTCAATATTAAATGCTCGACCTGCAAATGCATTCGGGTTGGGTAGAAATGTGATTATCCTCATGCGGACAAACAATAGTCCTGGGTCTTCAAACTACCCATCGATGAATAAACTTGTTCTAAGTTAAGGAAAATAATTTCTTAATGATACTTAGGTCTAACATTTGATGTCGTTCATTCAGTAATCACTGATCTCTATATAACTGTTGTAAAAAGAAATTTCGCTCATGCAAAATGACCACAAAAGTACATCTTCCATCTAAATTCTCATTCGACTGGGCAGGTGAGCGCTCAGAAACACAGGATCGAGCCAAAGGTTACGGACTTCACTGCTCAAATTATTTTCTAAACCAGAACATTTAGTCATATGAAATCTGCAGGAGGAGCTTCTTTTAATTGTCCTCTTAAAATCTCCAGTCTAGACGCGCAGATTTAGTGTCCATCCCAGCGGTTAATTGACAGAAAGAGAATGATAAGTGGGAACGAGGCAAATATTGGCCAGTCTCTGGGTGGTGGTGAGTCATGCCCGACAAAACCGATGTTGCCTATAGAAAAGAGGACTTTTCTTCAAGTCGGTGACTGAGTCCGTAAAAGTCAGTCCCCCGAAGTTTCCCAAATGCCCTCAGACACTAAGAAGGAGTGATGATTTTATGCGTAAAATAATAAAACGACTGTGATTTCTCCCCTGCTATGTGGATAAGGGAAGGAAGACAGGAAAAAAAAAAAAAGGAAATGATTTCATAAAATGCTTCACGTTACCTGTATTCATTAGTGTGCATGCCACTTGCCAACGCCAGGTCCCGCTGGGAGAAAGTCAGCCTAAGTCAGGTTGCGGGCACATTGCAACAGCCTTCAGTTCTGTACTCAGCAAAAACCTCCCTAAGGCAGGGGGTCTCCTCTTTCTCTGGCTGCGTATTGGGATCAGTTCTGAAGCTCTAAAAATTCCCACCTTCAGGATTCCGTTGGAATCAGTCAGGTGTAACTCAAAAACAAACACAAAGCAGGATTAACAAACCAGGGAAAAAACCTTCCGACGTATCAAGTCTCATTGACGTTGAACTTACTGTCCGTCTAGACGCAGATAAATATATTTAGTATCACAGATAAATATATTTAGTATCACCTGCATACACATTTCATACCTATATACATAGTATGTTATATGTAAGTACCTAGTATGTCGTACGTGCACACATGTAAAACCATGTGGTTATTCACAGGCTACACGGTACCTTTGTAACCCGAGTTTTGGGAGGACAGGCTAGCAGGTTAATGGTCACCTGCCAGGATGCTGGCCTGGCGTTCATGGCCTGGCTTCATTTTCAGACTCTGGCACTCTCTAGCCATCTGCTCTTGGGCAGCTGCCTCGGACAATTTGTGTCTCAGCATTCGGGGGCCACCAGCCCCAGACCGTGGCAGTACAAATGAATGACCTAACGCCGATAACGCGTTTAGCCGAGGGCTTTGTGATTCGTCAGCCCCCGGTACATGCCCGCTCTAGAGGTTAATTCTGTTAGCTGTTTCTCCAAGCAGAGTGCAGAGGGGGCTTTACGATCGATACGAGGTGACCGCAGCGAAGGAGGGTTGGTTTCCGTCACTTAGAATGAACCCGACCGCATTTGATGGGCGCTGGCTGGTGAGGGGGAAAGATCTGTCTGGGGTGGGAAGGTGGTTCAAAATCAGTGTTGGCTGCACGTGGCTCCTGACGCAATAGTGTCTGTTCTTCCATTCAATCTGCCTGTCTTGGGCTACATTTAAGTGCCCAGAACCCACCTCTCCACAGCTATTATTGCATGAGGCTGAGAAAGAGATGGCTCTGTGTTTGATCAATATTTCTCGCAATAAATTCCACCCAAAAGATTGACTAGACACTTTGCATCCTTACACCTGTCTATACCTGTATATATTTGCGTGCAAACTCCTAGCTACGTCTGTATCGTGTGTCATGTAGCCGAGCAGATAGTCGTGGAGGACAGTTCATTTCACTGCACTGCAGTCACTGTGAGTCTTCTCGATGACTTTGTGCTTCTTGGGGTCTGCAAGCGGGAATGTTTGACCTTTCTCAACCCATGCGTCTTCCTGGTCTGGGGGAGCGGATGGCAGCATGGGGCACATATTAGAACTCTCTGGGGACCCTTTAAAACCCTGATGTTTACTCATCACTGCAGATCTGAAGGTGCTGGAAGTCACTGCCCCTGTTAAAAGGTCCCCTGGGCATCTAGCAGGCAGCCAATTTGGGCAGCGTCTGACCCTGGGTCACGGTAATAATCAGAAGCGATCGTTCAAAAGTCAGTCTTCGTTACATGAATATGAAGCTCGAATCAGTTCTCGACTTCAGGCAATGTTTCGCTTTTTTAAACGCTAATGAATTCAGTATTCTTTGCTCTCCCTCAAATCTACTTCTAGACCATAAATAAGCGCTTGAATTTCTCTCAGTTCAAAGTGACTTTTCAAAGCTACAGTTTTTACTTACACATAAATTTAAGTTTCATTGGGCGAGACAGGTTTTTGCAAGCAGACTCATTAGGCATGCAGCCTCCTTAGGAAAACGATTCATTGAGTGGAATTCAAGCCAGCACCAAATGCATATATCAAGTCGATCATTCTCGTAGCCCTGAAGTTAAAATCGGCATAAAACAAATGCATTCGGCCTTAGAGAAATGTGCAGAAATCTGCAAAACGCCCTTAAAACTGTTTTAAGGAATTGTCTTTTAGATGTTCTTCAATACAGTGGCACACACATGATAAACTTGCATAGAACTAATTACACACACATGCGTGTGTACACACACACGCACACAATCTAAGCCTGTAAAACCCAGCGAAGTCTGCACGAGCTCTGTGGATGGTGTTGACATCATTCAGCTTCCCAGAGCTGCCGCCGCGCTGTACTTCTGAAGATGCTACCATCGGCATAAACATCCCATCGCTGGGGGCTCAGCTGGACTGTCGACCCCACACAAGTCTTGACCGAGCACCTGACTACTCAGGAGCCTCACGGTCACTCCCCAACACAGCAGTGTGTGTCCCAGGCGGGAGAACCACGCACACAGGGAGCCCGCCTTTCCTAGTCGATGCCTCTAGACCTGAACCGGGCACCTGCCAGCAACCAAGGAACCGCCTGCTAATAAATGTGTCAGGAAAGAAAGACGTGGTTTTTATGGACGAAAAAAAAAATGATCCACGTTCCCCCGGATGACACCACTTTATGGGTTACGTGCTGCATGTCCACTGCATCTCGAAGCAGGACATGCTGGCAGCTGTCAGCAGCTGGGACATGAAACTTTGCATGCGGTCTGTAGCATTGAAAATGCAAAGCCAGACAGGACGGCTTGTCGGCGTCACATACACCTAGTATTTGCTGGACACCTCCTACGAGCAGGTGCGAGGAGGCGATATAATTTAAAACAGTAGACTATCGATCCCCCCAAAATGCCACTAGAACCAACAGGATTAGCAGTTATAAATATGAGGAAAGAATTCAAAATGTTGATCGTCAAATGCCAAAATACTTTCATTAGGATGGCAAGGTCTCATTACATTTACCAGACCTCAAATTCCACTCATGCCAGAATATTAATTTTTTTTTTTTAATCTCCCCGGCAGCATACGAAACGGTTCATTTTTCTTCAAATTCCACTCATGCCAGAATATTAATTTTTTTTTTAATCTCCCCGGCAGCATACGAAACTGTTCATTTTTCTTCCTCAATGAATTTTTTTTTTTTTTAAATAAATGAGTCTAGTCCGCTGGGCAGGTTTAGGATACTTTATTATTGAATCAGTATGTACAAATTCTAACACGAAAATAATGAGTCACAGAATATCAGGCTATTTACAATACTTTTTTGTTTTTTTACAATTTTTTTTTTTACAAGATTACTTCTCTCTAAATAACAGGACAGACACACACGAAAATCAAACTTTATTACATACATAAATAAATATTGACTTTAAATGGCCACTGTAAGGGACATGGTTTCTACAGACCAACTGGATGAGAAGGTGGCAGTTATCTGCATACTATAATATAATTAAGTAAAGAAAAAATAATAGCTTTACGTACAGACCTCTGTTAACCACTCTGTCCACCGTATAACTTGCCAAAATATTCCGCAGAGGGGAGACGCTGAGGCTGGCCATGCAAAACCACAGATAAGAGTCACCATCTTGATGCATTTATTTGTATTTTAAATGAATTTTATTTAAAGTACATGCGACAGATATGTAGCACTCGTGTTCCGGTTTGCAATGTGAAACTCGAATAACAAGATTTGGAGGCGTCTGCAATGACTGGAGTGAGCGAACTCGAAGAAACCTGTGTCACGCGGTGTAAGACAGGGCATCAAACCGGTCAGTCATTTTCACAAGTGACGCTGACTGGCACGTAGGACAGCCTCAATGTTTGTCCTTGCATGATGCAGACACATGTCAAAATTCGGTCTTTTTAATAGGCTTCTCACTGGACATAAAAGACAGGGTTTCGGGCTTTGAGGTCAAATGTAATCGCTTGCAGCTGTTCCCCAGACTGAGCTTAACGCCTGCATTTTACGGGGCTCCCGATACTGGACAAATTCTCGCGCCGTCAATAAAGGTCATTCTGCAGTGCAAAGATTCTCAACCGGGGCTGACTTGATCCCCCAGGGGGTGGCTGGCACTGTCTGGAGGATTCTGGGTTGTCACGCCTTGAGACAAGGTGCTGCCGGCACCTGGTGGGTGCTGACCAGAGCTGGTGCTCAGCACCCCACAGTGCCCAGGATGGTGCCTACAACAGACAACGATACGGCCCCCAAGGTTAAGAGCGCCGTGGTAAACAAACGCCGTCCGTGGACTGCTACCAGTCCTTTTAGGTTGCTAGGATGCAGACGTTATTTTTAAACTTTGAATTTTGTTTAATAAACATTTCCAAACGTTGCCTGTCATGAGCACGATTGTCTCTAACAGGTCATATTACAATGACTTGAAAGGGCACGCGTTTATCAAAATCATTCCAAGGACTTCCACTACACAGAAGAAGAGATGAATTCATTATGAGCGAATTCAGGGAGTGAACAGATGCACACGCCTGTATGTGATGGGTTTATATTTTAGTGAGCTCCATTTTTTAAAGAGTAAATGCTATCACTGAATATGCTTTTCCCCGTGTGACAGAGATGCATCTAATTTCCATAAAACACATTAGTGAATTAGCCACTAAAACTATGTTTTTAAAATAAAAAACATTGTATCTCTTTATTAGGGCTTTCAAATTATAATTCAAAAACTGTCAACATATTTTCCTCACTGAATACGATTGTGGATTCTTGAAATTCATAAAAGAAGCTTTTATTGCCTAATTAATAGGATTTTGCTCCCAAGGATACTAATAAAATTTAAGTTATTTAATATTATAGCAAAATTACATGCTCGTAACAGCTGCTTTAGAGTTTTTAAGGACGGTATTAGCTTCAGAACCTTCATCCAAAGTAAAAATATATTTGCTCAATGTCTATTACCCAGACAAAAGAAACATCATTCAGTTTTATAAAATTAAACTTATATAATAATAATATATTGTATCTATGTATATACTCCTGCATTGTAAGGTATACAGCAGTTAAAAAAATTTGTCGGCACAAACACTAGGGCTTATTCATGATGCATTAAGGTAAAAGATAAATTTGTGGCCGATAACTGCAAGTCTTAATTTTAGAAATTTTAGAAATTTGAAATTCAGATGCTGGTAACGACGCGAGAATATATGGTAGTTTCAGAGCGAACGCTCTGTGTTCACTCAAGCGAGGGGGTGTTTTAAATGAAGGCTGCTTCCTGTTCTCTCCATTGAAAACATGTAATTCTTGGAGCCAGGTAATTTCACATTTGTGATAAGTCCGTCCCAGGCCATGGTAGAAGCTGCAGAGAACCACTCAGAACCAGAACGCACTTGTGCTCTGATACTTCCGATTTCTATCGCTTGGACGGAGCCACAAAACACTTCCTGCATTATCGACTTTTTCATGTTAATGCACAGAACACAGTTCTCAGCATCTATCACCAGTATCCGTGCTACAGGCCGAGCTTCTCAAAGACAGGCATCCAGAGACTAGTGGAAACGGTGTCTGTCTCTTTTACATGGCGTGGGCTCTGAGTCACGGCAGTGTGGCCTCATGGGGCCTCGGCCTCCTGAGTGTGGCCTGGCCCAGGAGCACCAAGCCCCACCGGCCACCCCTAAGAGGGACGTTACCGAAAGTGTCCCCATTTCACCTGCTTAGATCATGAAACGAGGAAGCCTTTCCTTCAAAATGTTTAATTCTGATAAAGGATTCTTTTCTCATAGAATCGACAGTGATGGGGAAAATATATGACCCCTCTGACCTTTAGAAGAACTAGGTCTTTACCCAGAACCGGTGAGCTGTGGAAACCATTTCTTCAGAGATTCACACTCTTGTGCATCTAGGTATACGTGCGCATGCTTAAAACTGTGCGGACGAATATAGGCATATTTCAAACCACATATCTGGGTAGTCCTCAAGAAAAAAATGACTAAACTAGACATTTCTGTGTTTCAGGCTGCCCTAGCAGACACTGAGACACTACAGACTCATAACATGGTTTGATGAGTTTGTCCGAAGAGGCAGTAGTTCGGAGCCTGTGAAATTTCCCAAACGATAACATGTAACGGATTTGAAAAAGCAAACGTTCATTCGAGGCCAATATCTGTCCTCTATCAATCAAAGAGACTCCCCTTTTTTTATATTACTGAGAATATTCTACCATACAAACAGATAACTTTGATTGAGAGAAGGCAAGTCTCAGTAAAAACGTGAGACTGTTCAAGAATTGGGATGCTTTCTTTCATTTTAAGCAACAGATTCTGTAAAGTTTTTAGATACCTAAAACTCATAAACCAACCATACAAGCACCAGTTTCCTGTGTTAATGAAAAAGGCAAATATAAATAAGAGAACATAGCAGGAAAGTCTCTCATAGGATGAAATATTAAAAAGTATCCTCAGAAAAGCATTTAAATTTCTCCAAGGCAAAATCTGGACAGCAGCTGAATTCACCGAATCCTTCCTGCCTTGGATGCCTCCCATACATCATAATTTACGGATTGAACACTCATTTGTCTTTGCATAAAATGAAGCTTGAAGGTGTTTAAAGTGACAGCATTTTTAGATGTATATGCCTTGGTATATTTCAGGTTAAAATTTCCAGCTAAAAATCACACGTAATAAAGATCATCTTATGCTAGATTTGAATAAATGTGGCCTAAGAATTGTATCGTCCTAGCTGGCTTTGCTAATCAAATCAATATTTTAATTGTTAAAAATTCCATTGATTAACTTTACGCTGACTGTGTCTACGAACTGGGCATTTGTTACGCTGACTTGTCCTGATGGACAATTTGCTGCTCTAAGTGTAGGCAATCCTGTACCCACTCCATCGCGATTCGCAAAAGCACGTATGAACATAGAATTTGCAGTTAAGTAGGCGGAGTCTTCATATTCTCTACTCTCACAGAAAACCGGTGTCCATCTTCACTGGCTCGGCATTTGTCCCTGTTTCTGGGTGCATCCTTGATTGACGGAAGTACTTGTTGACGTGGGAGCGTGGCATCCTGTGGGGGGGTAGCTAATGCTGCTGTGGGAACGCTTGGCCGGTCCTGCGGTTCAACGAGCTCGCCCATTCGCTCCATTTCGGACATCGCTTGGAGCAGGTTAGTATCTTTCTGGAGAAGGCTTGTGATGATGTGGATGGTGGTGCTTCAGGTGTGGCCCTAAGAAGTGACACAAGTTACCTATCAGTCATTCTGCTCTGTACGTGTGGAGTCAACAGTCCGAATAAATAACGTTTATCTAGAGTGAAAGCGTTAGGCCAGGCAAACGTCCCCTGACACATCTGTGCCTTTGTGCACCCAAAAGTACACACGTCCATCCATCATCCTTTCTCTTCTCTCTGTCTTTCCAGTTTTCACCTCTTCCCACCTGTTTCTTTGTAAAGCCCAAAAGACCGCAAGACAAACAGGACAAGCTCCTTTTCTTAAGTTCTATAAGCAAATAAAACTTCTCTGTATTTCTTCCAAAAAAAAGTTTAAAAATTAACTGATATTTTGACTAAACGGAATCTCAGTTGAGGAATCTCAGAGAAGTAGTCGCCCAACCCCGCCACCCAAAAAAAAAAGGTAACGGGCCGTCAAACTCCCATTGCGATAGTTTCTGTTTCTCTTTAAATTCTAAAGAAAAAAAGTTAGCGAGGCAAGTTTGACCCGCCGTTTAAAGAAATCGGAAGTCAAACTAGGATTACTTCTCAATTCTCTCATCAACACGCAAACCTTTAAGTGCAGCTTTGAAAGTTTAAGCTGGGAAAAAAAAATAAGCAAAACACATCTTTAAAAATCAGCAAGAGGCTCATTGCTTTGGAACTGTCGGTAACGATTTGTTTAAAAATTTACTCGATTGAGCGATAAATCAAGTAGATGGATTTGGGTCATATTATGAAGAACACGTATGTCCTAGATGACAGTAAACTGTATGTAATAATGAGCTTCTTTGCAAAATATTATAAAAGTGTTTCAGATTGATACGAGATTATAGATGTGTTTCCCACATTTATTTATGGTTTCAAAGGCGAGGAAAAAGCATGCTTTGTGTCCAAATAAAAGGGAAGGAAGGAAGGGAAGGAAGAGAGAGAGGAAGGAAGATGGGAAAGGGAACAATTATCCACCACATAATTTAGGCTAAAATAAAATCCAGTAGGTGGATGTAAATGGGAAGGAAGCATTTTCAGGTCAAGAGAGTTCTCGTTCCACAGGCGTCTCTGGGGACTCGTTTCGGTTGTCACCCAGGCTTTTCTGTCTGTCCAGAGGGTGGGAGGCGGGGTGACGGGGACACTCACTGTGCGCTGAGGATGAAGGCAGGTCGGGGGTGCGGAAAGTCTTGACCGTGGCTGGCCCTTCGCCCGCTGTGGTCAGCGCTTGAACTTCCAGCCGGTACAGGGTGGATGGCCTCAGATTGGGCACCGTGAGGACGTGGTGATCCTGAGGGAGACACATAAAAGGACACAGTCGTCCACGGCCTTTTCGAAGCAGCAGACACAGCGGACGCAGCCACAGGGTGAAGGACGCACCCGTGTGCACGGTGCTTCTCAGTGCCGCGGGGTCCGTGGCAGGCCGGGTCCCCTCCTTCGCTCGACCCCCCTGCTGGACAGGCCATCGGCGCCCGGCTCCGCTCCTGGCACCCCGAGACCCTGGCAGAGTCACAGCGAGACTCACCCTGCCAGTTCTCAGGCTCGCCCTTGGGGGGGCCGTGCCGCCCGCCCCGACAGAAGACTTTCCCATGGCCCGCAGCTCCCATCGGCACGTCTTGTGATGTGAATTCTTGAGCATCCACATTGCTGCGGACGAGCCAACTGCTTTCCCTTAAAACACTGTATCTGTCAGGGCCCGTAACCGAAAATGTTTATTTGGATGCCAACGCATTCTTCTCGAAACTCAATAAAACCTAATACACTCGTAGAATAACTGCTTCTAATTCCACGGAATTTTTCCTTCCGGGAGTTAAGCTGGGTTTTTTTGTTCGGTTTTTTTTTTGGAGCAGAAGTTGGGTATTCTAAGGGCATTTTTAAGGAGGATAAAGGCTCACACATGGGTTTTTTCTTTTTTTATTTTTTTTTCAAGCCAAGGAATTAAGTGGCCTTGAAGACAGGCCAGTTCATTATCGAGTCTGGCCAAATTCGAAGGGCGAAAAGGAAGAGAAACAACAAGCTTTTTAAAGCTATTTCCCCCGCATTTAACGCTTCCAACAGGGCATGTCCAGTTGGAGGGAGGGAGATGAGGTGAATGAAGACGGAATAAAATGGCTGAGGGACTGGAACACGACACGACAGGAAGCAGGCTGCTGGCGAGCTGGCTCCGGCCCTCACAATTTGTCAGGAGGGCAGTTTATTCTACTCACAATCACACTGATGCTGTGCTGTTTACTTGCAAAAGTGAACATTCAGAACAAGAAAATGTAGAAATCAGACTCCATCACACAGCCCTCGGCGCGACAGAAATAGCCAGCCCTGAAGGTCATTCGCCATGAGCAGTGACCACGAGTGCCACGGATGTGGTGACCGAGGTGACACCTACCGAAGGCAGGATCTGGGACTGCGAGATGATGCTGTTGGGCAGGCTGTTCTGTCTGCTCTCCGTCGTCACCTCCGCCCACGTCACCTGGAAGCCGGTCATGGGCTGGTGGAGGTTGGCCTTGGCCATCGTCCACGAGAAGTGGCCTGTGATGTTGACGTGCTGGATGACGAACGAAGCAGACAGGTTCTCCGGCTTGGCCAGCACTTTGGAAAGGACGTGACCTGTCGTCATTCGAAGATGGAACCCAGGGTTAGGCTACCGGACAGAGCGAGATGGTGAGAGGACTTAGAGCCAGCCTGGGAGAGGGGGTGGCCTCCCAGTGGGAGGGACGTAGAAGCCATGTCACCGCGGTCTTCAAGCCCGGTTGCGGATGGTCACCTCTCTGACACGTAGGGAGAGTGTGCGACTGGGACCCTCACCGAGGCCACTCTGTGCTAAGTGCTTCTGACCCTTTGGGGGTTATCTATAGCATCCGGCTTTGGGATGGATAAAGGGGAAGAGATTCTGCAATCTGGCAGGACATGCCGTTTCTCAGAGGACAGAAATGGCCGCAGTGACAAGGGTAGACATGCGGGTAATCGGGAGAGTTATTAGAAGTTACTGGAATAAGGTTTGGACATGTGGATACAGCCGCGAACATCCCAGAGGGGCACTTGGGACTTGAGATGAGGCGTACCTGCTTCCTCGAGACAGCTGATGAGCTTGTGGCTTTTTCCCTTGAGAGCAGAGCACGCTGGAGTCGTAAAGAAAACGCTTTCTGCCTTCAAGCGGCCCTTCGGCCGGCTGGGTTGGACAGTCACCTTATATTTGCAGGAAAATGACAGATCTTGAAGAATTATATAATTTTCCTGGAGCAAGAGAGAAAACATGCTAGCAATAAATCTCATGAAGGATTGGCAAAAAAAAAAAAAACGCAGGAGATGAAATCAAATTCCGTAATAATAATTCAATCATAATAAGACGATTTTCCTGGACATGGATGGAGTGGGTGCAAAATGTCTTTTGAAACAAGGACAAAGGGGACAGCAGTGTCCACGCTTTGATGGATTACAACAGCGGCACGAGACACGTCCTCCAGACTTACACAGGACCCTCGCAATTCCGCATCAAGGCGGCCGACTGCACCCTCCACGGCCAGCATGTGGGAGCTGGCGGCGGTGCAGGCGGCTGTGTCAAGCTGTAAATACAAATCTAATTATTTTCAATAGGAAAAAAAAAAAAAAGTCGGCTGGGGCTTCTCTGGGACACAGGCTTAGTTTATATAGTTTATATGTAAGTTCTTCTTGAAAACAAAATTAGTATATTCCTTTAGAGCTGTCATCCATCCCCCGCCCCCCATTTTGAAGGGCAGTTATTGCTTCCTGCCACACTACAGTGACTAAATAGAAATACGAAAAACAGGCTAAACCGCCAAGGATTAAGAGGCTTAGAATATAACTTTACAGCAACATAGAAAGATGACAGTTATAACACGTTTGTAACTACGTTTCTTTCATGTCTGTCTGTGGTGCTTTTCCGTTCTAGCTGATAGTTCCCAGGGGTCCATGCGTGCTTACCAAAGACAAAGGGGGGACCTTGGTCTGGGTCCCTTTGGGGAAATGTGAGAATGGGCAAAGGGGAGGGGCTGGCCCTTTATCTAGAAGGGACAAGCAAAGGCAGACACAAGGCACGGTTAATACAAAGAGTGACATGGACGCAAGATGATACACTTCGATGTCCAGCCGCCTGAAAATAAGCCCGATTCTCTGTGAATCCAAAGGCACGCGGAAGGAAGACAAGCCCACGAAACATTTCATACATCCTGCTTCTGCTTCGTCCTCTGCTCTGCAAATACATTTCCCTTTTTCAAATATCCGTTTTGTTTTTACTTTTACAGAAGGCCATACACTTTGGGAAGAGCTTACGGGTGAACGAAAGGAACGCCTCTGGTAGAAAAAGTCAAATCCAGTAAAAAAAACAACAACAAAAAAAACTATTTCTGCAAAAGCTATGACTTGTTTTATCTTACTATCTTAAACTTATGTGATTCCATGTGATTTGAAAAATACTGCCCTTGTTGCTTTACAAAATACTCAAAAGAAAAATGTTCTAGTTACAGGTCATATATCAATATGCTGTCATTTGGGGCCATGCTTTTAGATATTTTGGAACGTCGTGGTGCATTATTACATATAAACCGCTGTCATCGACATCGTGCTTATTTGACGCCACCTTAAACATTTGCTCTCGGTTTGCTGATTCTGCTCTATAACTCATGCAGTAATCGCACATATTTGGAATAACATATTAAGGAGTACAGACAGAGCTCCTATTCCCCTGGAGTTTACTGTTCTCTGAAAGTTCAAAGTCGAAAGGTCAGTGTGTGGCATAGGGGGGCAGCTCAGATCTTTCGTTAGCTGGATGAGTCGGTGGCAGTTAGGGACACGGCAAAGCAAGGCAGGCAGGAACGTACAGAAATTCATTGCACAGTCGGAAAGTAATGCGTTGCGACGGTGCTGCCAAGTGAAAAATCAGAAAATAATTCAAAGTTTTTGCCCTTTTCAAAGGAAACACACAGCGCCCCAGGAGCGTGTCCCTCTGGTCCGGGAGATCCTGAGCATCGGTGTCAGAATAATCCCCATGTTCGGGGACCGGCCGTGCGTGGCTGCTCTCGATGTCACTTCGTGAACGGGTGACAGCTAGTCGCTCACTCAGATGTGGATCAGTGACCGTGAGGGATGCACAGGACGCACGCTGCGCCCGTGCTGCAGGCCGATGCCACACACAGACGGGCGGAGTGAGTGCCGGTCGCCTTCGGGGTCAAGGGCGCTCATCGACTCACCTGGGTCGTGGCGGACGACGCCTCCGGCCTGGCGGTCTCGTTGTGGGCGCACAGTTCTGGAGACCAGTGCACGTGGTAGCGGCTGACGTTGGGGTCTGCAGGGTGGAAACACACACAAAAGTCACAGTGTGCACATCGCCATCTGCATAGACCGGGGCTCTTCGAACGGGAGAGAACGGGAAGGAGCAAATAGAAGTCGTGGGGGTCACCCAGGAACGCGCCCGGGAACCCGAGGAGCCACGCGTGCCTCGCAAAATCCTGCTTACTGTCTCCCTCCAAAGAATAAAGTCGGGGGGTGGGGGATGCAATACGGTGCCCCAGGAAAACCATGCTGAAATGTGAGCACGAGGTAGAAAAGGTCATCGGTGAAGTCACGGCCAAATGACCCACATGGCACATAGTAGGTGCTCAATAAATGTTAGTTGAACGATATCTTCTCGTGAAATAATGCTTCGTTCTCTCTATATTTGTAAAAATGCTAAGACAGAACTTCCTGGTTTCGTACAACTCAAGTAAGAATCATGAACACCTACAAGGCATAAGGCACGTCTCCTCCAAGCAGAAGTACAAATGTTTTCTCTCTCTGCCCAAGCTAATTGTTCATATTTATGGAGTGTAAACACTAAGCGTAAAGCCAAAAAAAAGTCTAAAATGACCTGTTGTGGATTCTAGTATCACACAATAAAAATGAACTGATAGCTGTAGAATAATAAAATTACTAATTAATAAAATTAGCCAAGAAACTAGTCCTTGCACGATAACGTTTGTTCTACAAATTCACTGTTGAAGATATGTACTTTCTTCTGGCGTATTCACTAATGCAACCCAACTACCGTATGCAATAAGTTGAGAACGGCTAACATCTGATGGTTGATTCTCTGTCCTACCCAATTATATGCTGCGTCATAGTAAATAATACCCAAACCTCGAAGCTCTCGCTTTGGGAAATTTCGAAGGAAATGAATAGATGTGTGCTTTTTAAATTCCCAACTCCAAGTCCAAAACCAACATCCTGTCCACCGCTACTTTTCGGAAAGGTGACATCTAAGAACCAATGTCCGCTTACAGTTTTGTCTTGATTAGAGAACAACATTCGCTTCCACCCCGATGTCCCCAGCCGCCAGTCCCTTTGGGTTTCCAACGCAGTGTTCCCACCGGCGAAAACCGGCTATAAATCAGGAACATTCGGCTACTTGTGTCAGGGGCGAAAACCATTGAAGATGGATCTAGTGAGTTGCACACAGAGTCAAATGTATAATTTCACAGAGTCAAAAAATTCCAGAAAATCCAGCGAACGTGTCCAAAGTGACAAAAACATCTCATGTGCACATTCTATAGAGAAATCACCTAAGAGCATGCCTCTGCATCGATGGAAAAGGTGTTTCCTGTCCTACAGTTGCGATGATTATAAATATACATATTTTATAAGTGTCTGGGGACATTTGGTTTGGGATTCCGTGTGTCACATTGGTAGCATAAGCTTGGAACACGTGCTCTGCATCTCATTCTGCTCTGGGCTTCTCGAAGTTTCTGCAGCCTGCTTGCAAGTGTCCTAACATAACGAGCTCCGCTGTGTTTTACATATGAAGTTGGCTTTCGATTTCAGATAACAGAGGAGATGGGATGGATATAATTTAATGAAAAGGGCTTTTTGGAAAAATACGAAAGTAGAGCGTGCCTAGTTCTTAGTACAGCACCTACGTCGGTGGCTGTGTGACCTGGTGAAAGTCACATGGGACATTTGCGGACTGACAGCAGGATAAGCTGCCACGTGACAGCTGCTGTTCTGATTCGTGTTTCTATGGCATAGCTGTCACCTGAGGTGCCGGATTCTCTAGAGTTAGCGTGTGTGTGTATACACACGCATACACACCCCCTCTGCCACAGATGTTCACAATTCCATCTCACATTAATGAAGTACGCTGTTTCGTTAAGAATATTAATATGACACGCAGACATACAATTCTACTTTAAAATAGAGAAGTACAAAAGACGAAACCTATTTTATAATTGAATATTGGTTATAAAACTTACGAATATATTAACTTTTAATTTAATAAACAATGCCGAATAAGCGATGACACTGTTTTTAATGTTTGAAGGTTGTTACTTTTAACGAAGACATGATAGCGACAAAATATTAATGGTAATTGTAATGTTATTTTGGCTTCAGAATGGGCGTCGGCAGCTTGGAAGAAAATTCTGGAACAAGAAGAGTATGAACATCAATATTCTTTGTGGCCTATGGGCTGATACCCTGAGTGAAATAACACTTTGGAAGAACTAGAAAAAAAATCTCAAACCAGAGTCTCGAAGCAATCTGTTTTGCTTATGTTTTTAAGTGCATAGGATGATAAAGATAAAAAATGTACATCCAATAATTCTAAAAGGACTATTTCAGTAATGCAAAATAAACCTTCTAAGAATAAAGAAAATAAGTAAACAAAATGAATTGATCTTAAAGATGAATATTCAAGCAAACAAGAAGAATTTACTCCAAGGATAAATGTTCATTTCGGTATGAATTACAAAATGGAAATTGTGAGAGAACCTCAATGTTTTTCTGCAGTGGACTCATGACATATGTTACGGTAGCTCAACGCAGCAATGGAAATTCTGGAAAAGTATGACAACATAGAATGCTCATATAATGCTACTTGAAAATATGTGTGTCTTATACACACACAGAGAGGCACAGAGGATTTCTGAAAGGAAATCCACTAAAACACCGTTTCCACGAAAAGATACTGAGAAGATGACTTTTTTCCTCGTTTCCAAATTATTTGTGTTATGGGTCTTTCTTAAATTAAAAAAAAAAAAAAACAATGTAGGACAAAAATGACAGCACAAAATCATCACAATTTTGAGCATTCTGGACACGAGATCAGCCTTCCAGGAAAAATGAGAAGATGGGTCCATATCCCTGATAAAATGATAAAATTTAAGCAATCGGCTATTGCTCATTTCGAAATGTGATCGAGATTCTAGGGATCGGGAACCCGCTCAGACGTCAGAACTTAAGGCGTTAACAACACGGTCAACGGTGTTTTGCTCGGCCACTGTTTTCCTTAACGTCAATACGACGGCTCGACACTGGCTTTTCCCCAAGTCCCTTTACCCCACCGTGCCGTCTACAGCGAGTGACGAAGCAGCAAATCCCGTGTGCGTACCTTTGGACCTTTTCCAGTACACCTTCGCCTGCAGCCGGCCGTCTTGATAGAAGGGCACCCCGATCTCCAGCGGGCGGCTGGGCCGTCGTCTTGGGAGAGGGGCCTGCGTTTCCAGAACACCTTTTCTAGTTTTCCCGAGTTGTTCTTCTACGACGAAGCATAACGTTCTCATTAAGAATAAGGCGAAGACCTGAGACGCATCCCAGCGTCTTTAATTTCACTGTTATTCATTCACATTTAGTGAGTTTTTAAAAGTGAAATGCGATACAACTGCAGATTCTCTCATGCCCAAGTGATAACACCCGCCCCGCGCCCCGCACCCAGCAGAATATGTTGCAGGACCCGAAAGGATCTTAGACGCGCTCCCCTGAATTTCAAACAGCCTCAGAGATGCTCTCACTGAAATAACAGGTGTAAAGAGTATTTCTCGTTATTGGTTTTTTTTTTTTTTTTTTTTTTTTTTTGGTTCTGAAGAACTTATGCAAAATAATATGCAAATATCATGTCAGCAGAGCAGGATCGATCACTTTTCATCGAATCCCATCGCTGTGCCTCAGCACCTGGTACACGGCCCTAAACGGAAAGATGGGTCCCCTCCGCGACGCCAACGGGAAAGGGTGCACGTCGCATCGCCCCACGGATCTGCAGACCAGTGACGGCGTCCCAAAAAGTATTGCCTGCGGGCCAGGCCAGGACGAGGCTCTAGATGATGTAACCTCGACAAAGGCCGGCCGAGGCTGGGCGTTTTCCTCCTCGTTCATGGTTGTGGGAAGGGACACATGGGAGTTGTCAACCCCATCGCAGCGTCTACCGGGGGAGAAATGTCGTTTATTGGACAAAGCGAGGGAAACTGGAAGGCGAAATTCTCTCACATAATAGGCGACATCCTCGCCACCGGCAGAAAGAAAGACGGTCTTGGGTGAAGCGGAACTTTAAAAATGTGTCTCAGAAGGAAGCCGGGGAGGAAGGAGGAGGCACACGGTGAAGGGGGACATGTCTGCCTCGGGGCGAGGCGGGATGGCCCAGGAGCAAACGGCGTCACGCGTCTACGTCCTCCGACACGGCACACCTGGGAAATCATCATCCGGGGGATGTTACTGCAGAGGAAAGGAGGCTTTTAACAGTTGGATTCGTATTTAGAGGATTTTAGTTTACATCGTTCCAATCAATGTTTGGACATGAGAAACATTCTTTAGACTTAAGGGTTCTTCACCCAAATCCAATACGTATGTCGGGGGATGGGGGGTTCCCACACCAGCAGGCAGGTGTCTGAGACCCGCGGGCTATCCGGGGTTCAGCGCGTGGAGACCAGCAGATCCTACAGGCTAAGGGCTCAGCCCACACGATGGGCCCCCAACTCGGACACCGGTCACAAGTCCAAGTTCCTACGTGGGATTCCGGTGGCCTCTATGCACGGAGCTTCCCAGACCCAGACCGTGTGCTGGATTCATTTGCGAGTGCGGCTCGCAGAACTCAGAGAAACGTCATACTCGCTAGGAACAGTCCGCCGGACGAGGTGCACAGGCCAGGCGCGTGGGAAACAGGGTGGGTAAGACTTCTGTGCCCGCTCCAGGGGCGTCGGTCTCCCCAGATCTCCGCGTGTTCACCACCCCCAGAGCTCCTCACACGCTGTCCTTCTGGGTTTTCACATGCACTTCATTTAACCAGGCTCGACTGATTAAATCACTGGCCACTGGAGGCTGGACTCGAACTCCAGCCCCTCCCCCACTCCCCGGAGCTGGGGGAGTCGCCCCGAAAGTGCCAACACTCTATCCACAGGTTGGCTCCTCTAGAGATGACCCCACCGTTAGGCGCTTTCCAAAAGTCACCCCATTAACGTAACAGGAGACGCCTTGATCGGCCTCATCACTTAAGAAATCCCGAAGGTTTTAGGAGCTCTGTGCCCAAACTCATGACCAAGACCCAATACGGATTTCTTACGCTAAGTCACGATGTCATGGGCTACTCCTTTCTGACAGGTGCTGCGTCGCACCCCGTAAAGAACCAAGACAGCCGACAGCACAGCAAGCGCCAGGCCCACAGGAGGAGGCGGGCGCAGGGCTCCCGCCCCAAACTCATCCCTTCCTGGACACCCCTGTGGGGTTCGAGACCGGTCCTGGTAACACTCCAAGTGACAACTGACTAAAGAGTTAAGATTTCCACACGCGCATTGATGCTTCTAACTCCATCAACAATGCGTAAGGCTGAGGCTTCGCCAGCGAATCGGTCTGGCGGTTTCGATACGAGGTCGAATCGGCACGTGGACATCATCTTCCTTCCTTTTCCATCCTGTGCAAACTTTTGTGTGTCGTCCTAGATAAAAGAACGTCTTTTTTTTTTTATTGACAGATAGTGTCGCCAGCGCGTGCCGTACGAGACGTGCGTACAAACTTGTCTTAGAACTGGGCAGCTGCCTCGAAGCCTGCGCCCCACATTTTCAAAACCAAAAAGAACAGAACAGAATCATTTCGACCACATTCCACGAAGGTCCGAGGTCTCATTTCTACTCTTTAATCGTCCTAAAAGTGCAGAGGATTTAGCTCCTCTGCTGGTTTTTCAGATGTCAAACGGTTGATTAATTGTACAGATGGAGAGATTCGAGGTATTTTCTCTGCGTTCTGTTTTTATTTCGCAGGCCTCGAAGAATATTCCACTTGCGTGAGGCAACTATAAAACACTTGGAATCTGTCAATCCTGAAAATATTCTTCTTGGCTCCAAAAACGCAAGCTACACTTCCATTAAAGGCGGGTTATGTCTTTCATCCTTGAAGGGACCATGTTATCAAACTGCACGCATAGTCAGCCTTTGCTTCCACAGAAATATCTATCAGGGAAACACCTAGGAGCCTGCAGATCTGGAAAGACGTAATTCAAAACGTAATTTATATGGTGACATTTACTAGTTTCCTTCCTATAAAGTGTAATTTCCCTTCCTTACACTGTCAAGTTGTAATTATTCTTTACCTCCAGTTGGTTCACGATGAAATAGAGACCGTTCTTGTAAAAGTTATATACCTGTGTTTACGAGATTATATATCAACACTGGGATATAAAATCCTGACAAATAACCAGCTCTATGCTGCATAATCCTCTGCAAAGCTGGGGTCTTCTGTAGGACACCTCGAGACACAAGCTATGTGTGTAACTGCAGGCACGTCATACTATTACTTGTTTTTATTATTTTATTATTATTTTTTTACTTTCTTTTTATTACTTTTCTGGCTGCACGTGAGAGGAATCAGTTCATCCTTAGAACAGAGTGGCCTTTGACAGGGTTACCTATCAGACCTCTTCGCTGGTCGGGGAAAACCTTCTCCAATTTTAAAAGATAATTAGAACATGACGTAGACACTCAGAATCAGGCTGTCCAGATGCAGAGGACCCAGTCGAGGTTGTCGATGAGAGGGAATAACGGATTAACTTGCTTTCATCAGTATTGAGGGAGCACGGCCACGCGCAGGCATAGGACCGTGGAGCTCAGCGGTGGACCGTGACGGCGGCTGTGGGCGCACGGCTGGGAAGCCCACGTTCTCCGAAACACAGGACACTCTTCCACAGGGACGTGTCTAGACCACACGCGGTGAAGTCTACCACGTGCCACAGAAAAGACACCTCTGCCTGAGCTTACAGGCGACAGAAGCTGAACATGGGTGATGGGTAGTAGATACATTTACAGGGGACCGTGTGTGGCTTCCCGTACGCCGTGCGATGTGGCTCAAGGGGACAGACAGAGGTTTACGATCCTGCTTGAGCGCATGGGAGAAGAAGCTAATCACAGAGGACTTCGAGCTCATGGGGTTCAGTGGACACGGCGGAGGGAGCGGGCCAAGGCCTCAGGTGTGGTCTGCAAATCCAGCGTCCCAAAAAGTACTGCCCGGGGCCAGGCCGTGTGGCTTCCCGTACGCCGTGCGATGTGGCTCAAGGTGACAGACAGAGGTTTACGATCCTGCTTGAGCGGATGGGAGAAGAAGCTAATTACAGAGGACCTTGAGCTCACGGGGTTCAGTGGACACGGCGGAGGCAGCGGGCCAAGGCCTCAGCTGTGGTCTGCAAATCCAGCGTCCCAAAAAGTACTGTCCGGGGCCAGGCCAGGACGAGGCTCTAGATGATGTAACCTCGACAAAGGCCGGCCGAGGCCGGGCGTTTTCCTCCTCGTTCATGGTTGTGGGAAGGGACGCATAGTAAATTATGGGAGTTGGCAACCCCTTCGCAGCATCTACCGGGGGAGAAATGTCGTTTATTGGACAAAGCGAGGGAAACTGGAAGGCGAAATTCTCTCACATAAAAGGCGACATCCTCGCCACTGGCAGAAAGAAACACGGTCTTGGGCGAAGCGGAACTTTAAAAATGTGTCTCAGAAGGAAGCCGGGGAGGAAGGAGGAGGCACGCGGCGAAGGGGGACACGTCTGCTTCGGGGGAACCGCAAAGGGAACATGGACGGTGGACGAGCCTGTCGGGGGCCCCGGGGAGCGGGAAATGCCGTGTGTAGTTACTGTTTCCGCGAGAAGATTTTGTCTGCATCCAGGGGCTGGACAGTTAAGAAAGAGTGGAAACCGAACCTCTCATTAGGACACCACTTTAATTTCCTGACAAAGAGGTGTCAGCGGCCAGCACGAGGGGAAGAAATGGACGGATCCCCGTAGAATCTGGAACTGGAGACGAAAGCATTGGATTTCTGGAGAGGAAGGACGGAGAAGCCTGGGTCGCCGGCAGGAACAGAGGGAGAATCGGGGAGACATCCGAGGTGGGGGAGCCGGGGCGAGGACGGGGCGGGAAGGAGGTGCACAGGTGGATTTGGGGTGTGCGACACTACCGGTCCCATTGGCTCCCGAGGGGAGGTGCTGCTCAGGCAGCGAGACAGATGACTCTGCACTTCAGGGACCGGGGGGACATCGGGGGTGCCACGTGGGACTCGCCGAGACCCCGAGGCAGAGAACTGCCCCCAGCCCTCCTTCATCCTTCCCCCACGCATGCACACACATGTGCGCACACGCACACGCACACGCGTGCTGCTGCCTTCGTGGGGCCCGCAGAGCCCCTCACTGTCCCAGGCTGCCATCCCACCCGCGTTAGCCGCTTCTGCTTCCACGGTCCTCTGCAGCTCTGTGTGGGGACAGCCTGACCACTGCGTCACCGCGGTCACGTGCTTATGTCCCGAACCGAACAGCAGGGGCTTTAGGGCAGGGGTCGAAACATGAGAAGCGCTGGCCTGGTGTGTGCGTGTGTGCACGTCTGCGTGCCTGTGTGTGCATTCGCAGACGTGTACGCGCACGATCTGCCTACGTGTACGTGTGCACACGCGTGTGTGTATAAACACGGGGCACAGAGACACTATGCAACACACACAGTCTATACGCTGTGCATGTCACACAGCGTGCATCTATTTACAGTATAATACGGCATGACATAGCATTTTATCACTAGACACAGGAATGTCATAAATCACAGGCACGCATTTCTGTTTCATAAACGAATGAATGGATGACTGGATTTTCAAAAGTCGAGGAAGTGACCGAACACATAAAAGCATTTTTATGAGAGCTTTAGGTAAAAGTTACACTGTACCCAGAAACAGCAGGATATGCACAGTATCATAGACTATAAATATTACAGGCATAGAAATAGTAGACTTTTCAAGCCCATTTAATCTCCGAAAGGAGGACTCTTCGAGAAGGTAGAAAGTTCTGTTTCTAGTTCTTTTTGGAAAGCATGATTTGGACCCATTTTTCTCCCGGGTAGTGAAAGGCAATTATGAGCGGTCACTGCACCTCACTCTGGGGGCCCGGCCTAGCCTCGCCTCCCCTACACCCAAGCAAGCTTTCGGCACACTCTCCACCCTCCGACGCAGCCCACGGCGCGATGACAGGCAGACAGCGTGGGCTCCGGCAGACTCGGGGTCCACGGCCCTGAGCCCCCGCCCCTCAGCCTGCCCTCACTTTCCATCGGCCTGAACCCCAAAACATGGCCGGGAGCGAGTCCACATGACTCCTCTCCATGCCCCGCCTCGGAACGAAGCCAGAAACGTCAGGGGGACGTGATTTTCTGACTTGGAGGTGACTGTCCTTCAGGACCGACCTCTTGCTTTGCTTGGTGCGTGGCGAGCAAACCACTCGCCATAGAAAAACGGGGAACCGGGAAAACCTGCGTGGCCTGATTTCGTCACTTGGCCCAGCGGAGACGGAGCAGCCAGCCTTTCCAGCGGTGCTTGTGACCACTGCATCCAAGCGATAAAAACGGGCGTGTCATCGTTTTACAGGGGACGCGATGGATTTTCATGGTGCACTGATCCGTACTCTCCTAAGAGACCAGTATGCCGAGGCGCAAGGACCCAAAATGACGTCCGTCGCAAATTGGGTCAGAATGAGGCAGAAAAAGTTACGCCATTGGGTTTCCATTATGACACCAAACCATTGCACATAAAATGCGGACAGAAATCAGAGGACGAGTTTTAGAGATAAAACTGTTCTGTGCATCACCGTTGGGAGGATGTTTGGTGAACGTGCTCATCAGCGTGAAGGTCAGCCGAGTCGTGTGTAGCTCGGATGGCGTGGGGAACTCTGTGCCAACACCGGGAGACACTTACTGTCGCTGGCGGCGTGCGTGCAGGAGAAACGCAGGGAGACCTTGGCACTCTTGAGGCGTGTCTGTCCCCAGTAGGCGACAGCCTGCAGCTCCACACTGTAGTCACCGTCGGGCTGAAGTCTCTCCAGAGTCACAGAGTTGTGGGCCTGTGAATGAGAGAGACACACGCAAACACCGTCACGAGCCTTCCGTGCACTGTGGAACGTCGCGTGTCACCATGAAGCCCCGCTGGCTTCTACTGATCCATGTCTCTGATATTCTGAGGTCACGCGGTTTTCTTCACCTTTGGGCTCAGAAAACCCAGTTTTACTATGGATCGAAATCCATTTCATAGAAAAGTCAAAACACGTTTTTTGTTTTTTGTTTTTTTAAATTGTGTTCCCAGTCTAATCATTAGATCCTCTCCATCAGCGTGGAAATGAGTATTTCTGCCCCGAACCCTTGTCTAGATATCACTTCACAGAGAGAAAAGGGACCCGTCTGAAATAAAGCAAGAGGCTTGTGTTGGCACCTACCCAGAAAAATTATGAATGGGCCTTAACTGTGTATCCTTGATATTTATTCCAAATCTTCTATGAGTAAATTTCCACTGAAAGGTGTCAGGAAAAAAATCGATGCAACAGAACGCTTTGAACATTTTTCTGCCGTTATCAACTAGTCACCTAATCGTCTGTGCGCGACGCTACATACTAAACGAAGAACGTCAGATGAACGTAATTTGCGCCATGGCTTAAAGCCAGACCGGAAGTTTCATGAGCCTGAGAGATAAGATGACATTCCGAGTGCATCAGGTATTCGATGGTGGGACTAAGGTAGCAACACAGGTGTCCTAACTCTGAATCCAACGCCGTTTTTATGGCTCACAGGTATCAGAGTGACATCCCTCACAAGAACTCGTAATTAAGGGAAATAAGGCTTTCGTGTCTTAGAATTCAAAACATTCGTCAAAATATAACGCATCGAACAGCACCTAAGCTAACAGGGACTTGTCTACAAACGGTCCAGCTGGTGGCATTAACGGCAAATGACAGGCACTTAGCAGCACGCCCTGTCCAGCAAAGACATGCCCGTTCGGGGCACGCACCATGTGATAATGAGGGTTCCGTAGGAAGTTGTCAACCACTGGATCACGTGAGTAACTCCTCTGCTTAAATGCCACAATCCCCCGCTAACATTTCTGAGTTGTAACTG